TGAAGAATATTCCATCTGTCCCAATTTATAAGCTGTTTTAGACAAAAGTGTAAAATTAAGAAAATTACTTTTTTTAATAAAATATTATTTATAATATAAATTAATCATAATCTAACCAATCATAGAGAAAATTGTAAAATATAAGTGGCTGCACAATAACCCATAACGTAAAATGTGAGAAAATGCTTATATTTTGGGACAAACATTTTTCCCAAAACTGCTTACATTTTGGGATAGAAAGTGTAGTACCCCTCACAATGGCTAAGCACGTGATGGGACGGATAGTTAAAACAATCATCCCACGGAGGATCTATCCCACAAGATATACAAATGTCTCGGGATGGAGGTATCCCGTACATTTCCAAGCAGCTATGTGAAAGCTCAAAAACATGGAAATGACAGAAGGATTAAAATGAGAGATTTTAATTCTCAAGCACGACGGGAACGAAACCCTTCGATCGAAGAAACGTACGAAATCCTTTAGAAAGGGAAACATACAAAACCCTCTTCAAGAGAAAATATGGGAAGGAGCACATCATCCCAAGACCAACGGGATGTTGACACCAGCTGCTTAAAGGATAAGAGTGGTCTGGACCAATGAAAAGGCTACATTCAGCTATTGAGTAAGGACAAAGGAGTTCTAGGCCAATCACGTGGTGGCACTCAACAGCTGAGGGAAGGAGCCAATGAGAAGGAGCCACTTGATCCAGGAAGATAGGATCAAGGAGAAGATGTTCATCCTCAACGGACCAATCACGTTCAGCCACCCAGCAGCTTGGGGAATGGACCAATGGGAAGGTGCCATTCACCCAAGTGGATGGGGATGGGAGAAGCAGCTCCAGGCGTGCTTCCATGCCATTGGTTGCATGAAAAATCAAGGTGTCGCGTTCTGAATCCACCACACGCCACCTCGAGCTTCCGAAAAACCTATATAAAGGCCCCCTTGGTCTTCACTTCCAAACCACACCAGAAACTGAAATATAGAGAGAAAAACTAGAAAGAGAAAGAGAGAGGGCGTGGAGAAGAAGAGGAAGAAGAAGAAAGAGGAGAAGAGAAGAAGATCCAGAGGCGGATCAGCATCGGGCTAGAGCGGGGAGGCTAGGGTCGGGGTCAGCCGGGTCGTCTAAAATCTGTGAGTTCCGGTAGCTAGGTTATAGTTTATTTCCTGCTATTGGTTATTGGTTCTGTAGTATAACTCTCTAAACAATATGGTTTAGTAAAAATTGTGGAGAGTTATGCTGCAGAAATTTCTGTGAATTGTTGTGAGGTTGTGGCGGGTAATCTTCTAGGGAGAGAAGTTATGCCGTCAAACCTCTTGAGTGTTTGAATGCAGATTATGCATTCGTGGTGAGGATCTGGATGGCTATGCCATCAGATCTATTTTGTGGAGGTTCTGGTTGGTAATCTTTCACGCGGGGAAAGCTCTGCTTGCGAGTAATCTTTCACGTAAGGGAGAGCTCTGCCACAGAACCGGGGGTACAAGTATATTAGGGCGTAGCCCATATGCTAGTACCGGCACTTATGGTGTAACCATAAGCGGGGCCAGGTCCATATGAATGTAGTGAGACATTCATATGGAAATGCACATGAATGTAGTGAGACATTCATGTGTAGGGTGGTGTACTCAAGACATTCACGCACAACTCCTTTCATGTGTGATTGTTAGGAGGTGCCCCAGCCTATTACAACGGTGTGGGAAGAACTCGGAGAGACGGGATTGCAGCCTAGGGCCGAGTTAATATCATACGACGGTATGATCCGACTAACAGTGAGGTTAGGTCGATGAGTGAGGGCCGGTCAGGTTACTGTGTGTTTCTGGCGCGGTGCTTCGCGTGTGCGTGTAATGAGTTCCCTTGGTACACCAGTTAGAGGTTTTCACCGGTGAAGCAGTGGAGTGTAGAGTAAGGGTCAAGTACATGAGTACTTGCTTTAGTGATGATTTCATTTTAATTGCATGTGTGATTGCTTTTAAATTGCATGTTGTGGCATATGTTATGCATATTGGATGTGCTAACTTTGATGCAGGTGGTGGCGGGTTCTTATCCCGCGGCTCTGTTTCTTTTGGGTTGGGTTTGGGGAATAACCTTTGTATAGAGGGTCCTGAACTCACTGAGTAACATTAGGTTACTCATGATGATTATTTGTGTTTCAGGAAGCTTGGAGTAGATAGCCCGTGGGCGGGAGGCAGAACACTCGAAGACCGGAGTAGTTTGCTTGGCTTTTGTTAAAAACTCGATTTCGGGTAATGTATTGTAATGTCTTTCTTTTGGGCGTTAGGCCATGCCGGCAATGTAGGATAAGGTTTTGTAAGAACATGTTTTCAATGTTTGAAATATAAAGTTATGTTTTTGCAAAACCCGGCTTACTGGAATGATATTAGCTAGTCCAAGCTAACACAACTCAAGACTAGTGGTAAAGGTTGCAAAGCCTTAACCAATGGTCGAGAGGGTCGTATTCATCAGGTTAACTGGCCTGGGCTCTGATGTGTTCTTAGACCTGAGACGGATTACTTGATGGACCTCGACAATTGTGACATATGCGGTTTAGTCTATTTATAGACCGAATCGGGGGTGTTACAGAAAGAGTAATAAATAAAATAAAATTAAAATCTATTACTAATAAACAAGAATGAAAAACAACAATGTGCCACTACAAGAAATGTGGGCATTGATAGCACATTGTTATAGCACGTTTTCATGAACTGCTATAGAAAGTTGTTTTTAAGTTTTTGTCATCCTATTATAGCTTTTCCGAAGTGCTATCCCTGAAAATCATTCAGCGCCAATCTAAAAAACAAAAAACCGCCAAAGTGAATGAAAATGACAATCTATACCGCCAACACTTAGCCAAAAAAAACACTTTTCGGTACTCAACTTTGAGTGTACAGTAAACAAAAAAACATTTATCGATTTTTCCCCAAAAAAAAAAATCTCAATCCGTCGCCGAGAAATTCACTCCATCGATTCAGATCAAATTCCGTCGCCATATTCTCCGTGATAATCCTGATTTCTCACGGTGGCAATCTCAGTACATTCGGTCGATTTATCGTTCTGTCACAATCTCACTCTGTCTCGATCTGAAACCTCGTCTCGGTCTTATCCTTCTCTCGCTCTTAAATTCGGACAACAAACGAGGTACCCAGATTACTCATATCTTCGATTTCACTCTCATTCAAGCATCTTCTGAACTAATTTCATTGCCTGCGACTTGGCTATTTAATTAGGGTTCATTGGTACTAAAAAATGGGGAAAGCAAAATTCATATTTTTCCAAAATTAGAGTTTCTTTGTAATCCAAATTGGTAACTGTGGTTTATATGTGCTCATATGTATTCTCAGGTGTACCTGATTCAAATCTGGGTTTAGTGATATACACATATATTAACATACATTAGCATACATTTACATGCATATTTCCACCTATTGGCATCATTCTCACATTTGTATCCTCATATCTCTATCTATACATTGCATCTTCATTAGGACTTGCATTGCATACACATTGCATTTTGAGTCTGAATCAGGTACTTAATGGAGCTTTGGAGCCATTTGGGAGAAGGAGTGTTGGAGACGTCAAGACGAAGAGCAACCAGGATGCGAACCAGGATCAGAACCCGTTTGTCACCTTTCCTTGACCAAGAAGAGAGTTGACCATGCCTTAAGTGAAACGCGGCGTTTTGGAGCTTAAATCTTGGGGAAGGAAAGAAGAAGGGTTTTAGAGAGTCTCCACTATATAAACTAAAAAGTCCTAAGTTTTTAGGCACCTTGTAATTTGTCTTTCATTTTGCCACCAAGAAATACTCTAGTTGAGATCTAAGACTTTGTAAGCTTTGGTCTCTTTCTCTTAATCAAATCACGTACTTGTTTATTTGCATTTCAGTTTCCATCTCATTTTACTTGTGAAACAACCTTCCTCTTATGAGAATCGGGTTGTCAAACAGGATGAGTGAGTAGTCTTTAGATTGTTTTAGGTGATTCGGTTTTGAGAGCTTTAAAGGAGAGTTTGAGCTTAAAGCTAGAACCTTTAGAGTTTCTCCTTGCTTAGTGCCCTTAAGGCTGAGTCATTTCTGATCATCTTGGCTCAGATCTCAAGCTCTCAACACATCAAAAGTGTGTTTGAGAGCTAGATAATCTAAGACAAGGGATCCGCTTTTCTAGCTCGCGATAGCGATTTGTTTAGAAAGCTTTTTGGTGATGGGATCTGCGTTTAAAGCTTGCTTGTGTAAGCTCACTCACGATAGTGAGTCTTGAGTTTGGACCTTGCATTCGAGCTCATTCACGATAGTGATAAGCTCTTGCTTTCGTTTTCCTTAGCCTAGAAACTCGGTTTTATCTTTAAGTCTTAAAGCTTCTTCCTTTAGCTCGATTTCCATCCGAAATCACCTAAAGCCATCGCCTTTCTTCATTTTCTTATCAAAGTTCAAGTCTTTTAGCTCAAAGTCGATTTCTTTCCTCTTTGAATCTTGATTTGGACCGTTATTTCACTGTTCTAAGTTTGTATTTTACTGTTTAACGTTCGGATTTCATAAAAACCAAATCTTGTTCTTGGCTTGAAGTTTTCTTGTTCAATCTTTAGAACCCAATCTTCCCTGAGATTTGGATTGATACCTTAAACTATACTGCAATGATATGAGCAGAGATTTGAGGGTTTGGATCTACTAAAAATCTTGTTTTCATTTAGACACATTTTGTTTCGGAAAGCACGTTTCCGACACTCAATTTTGAAAGGTTAGACTCATCTCATAGTAACTTCATTCGTTATACTTATGCTTTTCGTCATTGTTGGTTTAGTATTTGTTGTTTGCAAAGAAGTTTGATTTGTTCTCTTGCTTTTCCATCATGCATATATGTTTCATTTTTCGTGCCAAGGCTTCAAACTCTAGTTTAGTTACCATGTTGGAGAAGGCATGGTACATCTGTGCAGGTATATTCTACAATCTCGACAATCTTTGGCTTAGAATTACTGACATTACAATATAGACTTACTGTTTCCTTCACTGTCATGAACTGTAGAGCTGATCCTGCATATGAGTCTGGCGCTTGGGATTTTGTGCATGTGGTTAGGGACACATTAGGAGAATCAGAGCTGGTTATATGCCCATGCATAGATTGCCGAAACAATGATAGACATTCATGTAGTGTTGTCGTAGATCATTTAGTAACTAGAGGAATGGATGAGGCCTACAAAAGACAGATAGATTGGTATCATCATGGTGACTCCGTTTCTGAAATTGAGCGTAAGGGAAATCAGTGGAATGATGAGATTATGGGGTTGTATAAAGCTGCTGCATACTTAGATGATGGGATGGTTTCGAAGGATATTGACTTAGGAGAGATAGCCGAGGGTGAAGACAAGAAAGAAGACGAATTTCTTGCAAAGCTAGCAGATGCCGAGATGCCGTTGTACCCAACTTGTACAAGCCATAGCAAGCTATCTGCTACTGTCTCACTATTCAGAATCAAGACACAGAATGGGTGGTCTGATAAGAGTTTCAACGATCTGCTAGAAGCTTTGCCAAACATGTTACTGGTGGACAATGTTCTACACACATCAATCTATGATGTGAAGAAGTTTCTGAGATCGTTCGATATGGGTTACGAAAAAATACACGCTTGTGTCAACGAATGTTGTCTTTTCAGAAAGCAGTTCAAGAAACTGGACTCTTGTCCTAAATGCAACGCCTCAAGGTGGAAGATCAATCTACATACTGGTGAAGTAAAGAAAGGCGTCCCAGAGAAGGTTTTGAGGTACTTTCCGATCATCCCGCGTTTGAAGAGGATGTTTAGGTCCGAGAAAACTGCAACGGACTTAATATGGCACTTCAGTAACAAGAGAAACGACGGAAAGATGTCTCACCCTGTCGACTCTGCAACGTGGGACCAGATGAATAACAAATACCCAGACTTTGCATCTGAACCAAGAAACGTGCGGCTAGGGCTTTCAACAGATGGGTTTAATCCTTTCAGTATGAAGAATAGTACGTATAGTTGCTGGCCAGTACTGATGGTGAATTACAACATGGCTCCAGACCTCTGTATGAAGGAAGAAAATGTCATGCTCACATTGCTTATACCTGGTCCACACCAGCCAGGAAATAGTATCGACGTTTATCTAGAGCCTCTGATAGAAGATCTACAACATTTGTGGACTAATGGAGAAACCGCATACGATGCCTCTAGCAAGACAACTTTCACTTTGAAGGCAATGCTTCTCTGGACAATCAGCGATTTCCCTGCATTCGGAAATCTTGCAGGATGCAAAGTCAAAGGGAAAATGGGATGTCCTGTGTGTGGGAAAAATACAGACAGTTTGTGGTTGACTAACTGCAGAAAGCATGTCTATATGTGTCACAGAAAGGGATTGTCACCTACACATCGCTTTAGAGGAAAAAAAACATGGTTTGATGGAAAAGCGGAACATCGGACTAAGGAAAGGATTCTGACGGGTAGCAACATTTCGACACTACCGAGAAACTTCAAGAATGATTTTGGGAATAAGAAACAGACAGGGAAGAAGAGATCTAGAGCTGTTGCTATTAGAATAACATCAGACAACGAAGATGAAGACAGTGAGGAAGAAAAGGTGCAAGAGTTTGACAAGGAGGAACTGTCAAGGTGGAAAAAAAGATCTATTTTATTTAATCTGCCTTATTGGGAGGTATGTCCTAACTTATATTCAAATAAATTTTTGTTTTAACATTGTTAATTTTTAATACTTGTAACTAAAGCTACTTTATGTCATTGCATTTGGTTTAAGCACTTCCGGTTAGACATAACTTAGACGTTATGCATGTGGAGAGAAATGTTGCGGCAAGCGTTATTGCAACATTGCTACATTGTGGAAAGTCCAAAGATGGTCTGAATGCTCGTAAGGATCTAGAGCTTCTTGGTATAAGGAAAGATTTACATCCAAAAATTCAAGGTAAGAGGACCTTACTTCCAGCCGCTCCTTGGACTCTCTCTAAAGCAGAGAAGAAGATTTTTTGCAAGCGACTTTATGATTTCAAAGGTCCTGACGGATACTGTTCCAGTATATCGAGCTGCATATCTCTAGACGATTGTAAGGTCATGGGACTGAAGTCACATGACTATCATGTGCTAATGCAGCAGTTGCTCCCAGTTGCAATTAGAGGATTGCTGCCTAAAGGTGTTAGGATAGCTATTGTTCGGTTAAGCAAGTTCTTCAACTGCTTGTGCCAACGAGTTATTGACAGAGAACAAATTCTGGTAATGGAGAATGAAATTGTGGAGACACTATGCATGTTCGAACGTTTTTTCCCTCCGAGTTTCTTTGATATCATGGTGAATCTGTGTGTCCATCTTGGGAGAGAAGCCAGGCTTGGCGGACCTGTCCACTTCAGATGGATGTATCCTTTCGAGAGGTAATAGTTCTGTTGTCACTATTTTTGCATAGTAATGTTAAAAACTGAAATATTGATCTATGTTGAAACTCAAATGAATATGTTAATTACGTGTAGGTACATGAAAGTTTTGAAAGATTTCGTGAGAAATCCTGCAAGGCCAGAGGGTTGTATAGCTGAGTCGTATCTCGCAGAAGAATGTATGCAATTTTGCAGTGCTTTCTTGAAGAAGACAACCAATGTAGAAGAGAAACTTGATAGGAACACTGACTATGAGAGCAACTCCATACTCGAAGGTCGTCCAATATCAGCCGCTACTTCATTCACTCTCTCTGAAATGGAGAAGAAAATTGCCCACCTTGCTGTCATTCAAAATACGGCTTTAGTGGATCCTTTTGTAGAGTAAGTATCTCTACCTGCCTGCTTAATGTTTTAAATTTGTATCAACATGGCTCATATTCTGTGTCATTACTAATTGTAGCAAACATCTACAACATCTGCAAGACACCAACGCTAGATGTAAGCGTGATGCAAGTTTCTTATGGACTACGGACACACAGAATTTTGCAGCATGGCTCAAGCAGCAGGCAAGTTTCTACCCATTTTACTTATTTTCTTTTATGTGTTCGTTTATTCTGAATGAAAAGTAACACTAAATCCTTATTATTATAGATATCACTTGATTCTGTGGACCATGATGACACACTTAAGTGGTTAGCATATGGACCACGATCTACTGCAAGATCGTATAGTGGATATATCATTAATGGATTGCGGTTTCATACTACCTCAGTACACAGATTAAGTCAGAACAGTGGTGTGTTCTACGAAGCTACAGCCATGTGTAGATCCAGCGCTAGAGACACGACACAAGTAGTTGATCTAGTGTCCTACTATGGAAGGGTCGTCGACATAATATTGTTGGATTACAATGTATTCTACGTTCCTCTTTTCAAGTGTCAATGGGCAGTTAGAGGAAATGGTGTAAAAGTTGAAGATGGTTTCACGTTAGTTAATCTGAATCAAAGCCAAGCGTCGTTTTCAAGAGATCCTTACATACTGGCCTCCCAAGCAAAACAAGTGTTCTATTCTCGGGAAAGTGATGACTCCAATTGGTATGTTGTTATGAGAGGTCCATCAAGAAGATATAACAATGAAGACCTTCAAGATGGACATGCAGATGTTGGACCACTGCCTTCCAATGTAGACATGAGCATGGAGGACTTGAATGACGACTCACAGAATGCTCGTAGTGATGCTGAAGGCATATATGTCTGACGTGCATGTCTTCATTGTTTTATGTCATACTACTAGTATTCTTTATAGTCTGCACTTGCATAAGAACTTTGAACAGATGGGTACTTTAGTTAGGTTTGATTTGTCTATGCTGCTGCTAAACTCTTGAAGAGACTTTCAGGTGAACAGATATGAGACTTACAAAAAAAGCCACAAAGAAACGAGGAAAGTGTGTTGATGATGAGCCTGAGTACATAGGTCATGAGGAAGGACAACCTGCTGGAGAAGGTACAGAACCTCAAGTAGGAACTGAGGAGGACCCATTGTCTCACACCAATGCATCTGACGTCGACGCTGACATAGTCCAGCCTTTGGTCAAGAAGCGCAGAGGACCTACGAAAATGAAAGATATCGCAAAGGATCCGAACGCAAGAATTCGTGTAGACTTCACTGAGTTCGGAGAACCGTGTGGAAAAGGGTCTGTGAAGCTGTCATCTTATTTAGGTCCTCTGGTGCGGGAACATGTTCCCATTAACATTGCTGATTGGCGGAAGATTGGTGCAGAACGGCAGACTGTGTTGTGGAAATCTGTTCAGGTAAGTTATATATCTAGTTGTGATAGATGATATTACATTTCTCTATGGTTCTAGTTAGATTTCCTTTGTATTTTTTGTAGGCAAGGTTTGAACTAGATACTGAAACAGAGGAGACTATTGTTATGAGGCAAATGGGATGTATTTGGAGGTCTTCGAAATCACGCCTTGTTGAACATATCAACTTAGCGAAAAACAATGCTGAGAGAATGAAGCTCCGACCAAAGAACATCTCTACAGTAGAGTGGCGTAAATTTATAAAGGAAAAGACAAGCGAGGAGTTTAAGGTATTATAACATATTGTAACTTCCGTTCTTGCTTATGGTTATTGTGTGTTTGACACCGTTTTTGTAGGTTCTGAGCGAGAAATATAAAGAAATAAGACGGAAGCAGATTCCTCACACTTGTAGCCGTAAAGGAATGGTTAGGTTGGCAGAAGATCTAGTAAGTGCATTTTACACATATGTTCAGAAGTTGTAAGTTAGTTAATCAGATTTCTAATACATTTTTTTTTTCAAATGATTGCTTAGAAAAAAGAAAGCTCTGATGCATCTGACGTGACGAGGCTAAAAGTATGGGTCAGGTCACGCACGAAGAAGGATGGGACCGCAGTTAACACCAAAGCTGCAGACACGATTGTACGTAACCAAACTATTACATAATTCTGATTTGTTTTACCATATTGCTTGTAGCATATTATTACATACGTATAATTCCTCTTTCAGAAAAAGGCGTCTGAGTTAGTGGAATCAAAAACTCCAGCAGCAACAAACCCAAAGCAAGATCTCCTTAGTCAGGTATTAGGACCTGATAATCCCGGTCGTTTGAGAGCAATGGGTAGAGGGATGAGTATGAGCAAATATAATTGTTTCCAAATGAAAAGCAAGTACATGACAGAAATGCAACAACAGCAGATGCATTTGCAGCAACAAGTGCACGACTTGCAAGAGACACTCGCGAAAATGAGAAATCAGGTTAGTGATGAACATCAGATAAAAAGTTTGTTGATACTTGACTGAGAGTTTTATTTTTACATCCTATAACTCGCTTTATATAATTTTCAGAGATCAGAACCTGAAGTAGGTGAAAACTCTGCACCAAGAGTAAGTATTATTCTTCACGTTTTACTATATTCTTACAAATTGCTTTCAGAAGTTTATTATAGGTTTGTTTACTGGATATTTTGCAGAGCGTAAACAAAAAAGCACACCCCAAGTGTATTTTATATGATTGGTCTGGGTCTGATGCCAAAGTAGCTGAAGGCCGTATTCTATCTTCGGATCCAGAGGACTTCATCAACGATATTCCCTTGGGTCCTAACTCTTTGAAGGTTTTGGTTGAGGATGGCATCGACGCAGATGCGTTTCTTTGGAGACCGGCCCCTGATATGAGTTATATTTCACAAGCTGTTGGAGGAATCATTGCATGGCCTTCCAATTTTGTTGTAACCATTGACCACGATGAGGAACCAGAAGACATTGCGCTAAAGGTATCTTTGTTAACTACTTTGTTTCACATTTTTTAGCTTTTTCATAAGTGTTCAATGGTCTATGCATATGTTTTTTCAGAGCCCAAACTCAAGTTCGACAAACCTCTGTAAACTGATGGACTGGACTACGAATGACGAAGCATTTGTTGCTGAAGGCCGATGGCACTCTTCTGACCCCAAAGCTCTAGTTAATGGACTTCCTCTTGGTCCTAGTGCTGTCAAAGTGTTTGTGGATGTAGCTATAAACCCTGATACATTTCTATGGAGGCCAACAGCAGAACTTACAAATCTCGAGGACTCTTTGAAATCGTTCGTCGCATGGCCTTTAAACAGAGTTCACTTCTGTGAAGAGATGCTGGAGACACCAAATTCCAATTCTCCTGTTGAGGCAACGACTGTGACTCCTTCAGCTCCAATGTAGAATGCACAACCTTCACATTCGTCTTCTCAGGTATATTACTGATATTAGAGTTGATATGTTTTATGTTTATTATGTCATGGCTTTATAGTTACTTAATGTATGCATGTTCAGAAGCCGGAAGGAGATGTTCAGGAAAATCAGAAGTGCATTCTCATGGATATTACTGGAGAGAAGAGAGCTGTTGCGGAAGGTCGATGGTCTTCAGATGATCCAGAACAGCTAGTGCACTTTGTTCCGTTGGGCCCTAACGCAGTACGTGTATGGGTTGATGTTGTCAAGGTGAGTGATGCCGAAGTGTGGAAGACTACTTCTTTTATTGAGTGTATGGAAGATGCAATTGGTAGTACTATAGCATGGCCGAAGGATAAAGTGTTGGTCATCTAAGTTGGTAGAAGACCCTCTCCATCGCTGCTTTTCTGAATTTGATTTCTCGATTGTTTTAAGTGTTGGAATGGATTTGTGTTTCAAGATTTGCGGATTAAGGTGTGTATGGATCTTGAAGACTCCTATTTTAATGAAAATTCAACTTTCTGGCATGATGCTTAGCAAAAGTAGTATGTAAACAGGTTTTGAAACTTTTGGGAACGAAAATAGGCTACACATTTGATTGTGCGATCAGAAAAATAACAGCATAAACACAGACCTACAAAATATAAACATATAGCGGGTGTGTAGAGCTACCAAAGTTATACACATAACTGAGGAATGGAGCTACAACAGAAAATAAGATAGCCTTCAGTAAGAGCTACTAAATTAATACACATAACACATGAAAGTAGCTACGAGATAAATTAATAGAGCTCACTTTTGTCGCTACGAAATAAAAAATAAATAGCATTAATAAGTGTTATTATATATCGAAATATGGCGCTAAAACTCCGCTATAGAAAATAAATCAATTATAGCAGTAAGTAAAAAATGCTATGATATGTGTCGCCTCTATAATAGCTCCGGCAACCACAGCGTTCATGAAAACGCTATAGAATACTTTTCGTAGCGTTAATCGTCTGCTGTTAATGCCCATATTTCTTGTAGTGTGCGTCAATTAGCTTATCTTTAAATACATTTTATACCCTTAGAAATTCAACCTAAGTATTAACTTATCTACAATAATATTAGCTTTATTAGCTTACATTTGTTGAGATGTACATATAGGTGTATCACATAGTGAAATTTTTTTCTATATGAGATTAAAAAGGTTTATACCAAATATATTTACAAAAGATATAATCATGGAAAAATTAAACGGAATACGTAAAAGAAGAAGAAGCTGAAAGAAACAAAATCTAGCAAAACCTAACAATTTCGATGGAAAGAATTAATTATAGAAGAATAAGAACCAAGAAGAGCAAAAATAAAAAGAAGTAAATGAAGAACAATGAAGAAAAAGATCGCAAAGAACAAAAACATAAAAGAAACCAAAGAAGATAAAGTTAAATCAGGAAACCAATATAAAATTAAAAGATATGCTTAACTATATCTTTATGATCACATAAATGAAATATTTATATTATTGTTAGACATTGCTCATTACATATGTGAATATGTAGTTTTACCATCTTTAGCTTATTTCTTTCTACGAATCTTTTTCATTTTTTAAATTTGGTCAAGTGTATAAGATAGTGAGAATTTTATTTTACATAAGATTAAATTAAAGAGATTACAATAAATTTATTTATAAAATGGAAAAGTCGTGAAAAATTTCCAGCAGAGAATAATTCAGAAAAAAAGAAGCTAAAAAAATAATATATGTATAGCAAACTGTAGCAATTTTGACCATCTAAACTAATTATAGAAGAAACATAAGAACAATAACCGAGTACAAAGAATAAGAAGAAACATAATAGAAAAAGTGAAGACGAAGATATCAAAGAATGAATACAAAGAAAATGAAGAAGAAACCAAAGAAAAAGAAAAAAACGAATAAAATGAGAATAGACCGAAAAGAAGAAGAATAATCGGTTTACTATAATCACCATGATCATGCTAGAAAGATAAACTTTAGGAACTAATGTAACTTCTCCAATGACTGGGCCTCTATGCCTTACGAGAAAATGTGAGAAAGGTTTGTAATATGTTTTTTTTTTCTTTTTTTTTTGAGAATAGCCTAAGTTCCTAAAACGGTTCGGGGAGTGAGACCGGTGGAACTGTGTTTATGTAGTACACATCATAAGGCTGATCTCGAGCACTCCGTGCTAACTTGTCCGCCTTTGTATTCTTCGTCCTGGAGATATGGGTTAAGGAGAACGCATGGAACTTCCTTTTGCACTTCTCAAACTCTTCAAGTAGAATCTCAAATGCCGGCCACTCTCTGGGTTTGTAATATATTTTTAATCAGAAATTATCATAATGAAATTCGTTTTATTATTGTGACTGATTATAAAAGAAGTAAAATAATTCATAAAAATTAAAAATATAAAGAAACTTAATAATAAGAAATTATAATTATAAAAGAAATTTTCTAAAATATTAAAAAGAAAAAAGAAAAATTGTAAGGCTTTTGTATCAATGGACTTTTTAAAGATCTACAAATTAGAAAATTCATAATTATTTCATAAAAACCATAAAAATGGAACCTGCGCATAGTGCGGGTAGAATACATAATTCATTTAAAAAACAACCCTTTTTAAGACCAATTTATTGATATCACTTATCGTCGGCGTATAATTCATGGCGTTACCAAGTTGCTATAGTTCAACTGAAAAATAAGTTAGACAAAGACAAGAAGTCACATAATCGAATGCTAATTGGGACAAAACCAATACTCTCTCTGTTTCATATTATATGGGGTTTTAGAGTTGGACACAAGAATTAAGAATTCATTTAATTTTTTAAGTTTTCAAAATAAAGCATGTTTTATCATCATTTCCAAAACAATTCAACCAATGAAAAAACAATATGCACAATTAATAAAGTAAAAAGCAACCAAAAAGTTGAAAACACCTTATATTATGAAACAAAAAAAAAAGTCTTAAACCCCCTATATTTTGAAAGAGAGAGAGTACATACTGTGGTTGTGGGTATAGGAGATGTGCAGGCTTGGTTAAAAAGAAAAGAAATTCATAGCATTTTCTAGGAAACATTGCTTTAGTAAATGATGGAATTAAGTCTTCAATGGGAGTGAGAAGGACTTGAGGGTAAACTCATACCATACTAAATACGTTTGTCTTCATCCTTTAAAGTTGACCAAAAGGAGATTTATGGGATGTCAAAGACTTGAGTTGACACTTTCACTAACAGATCAAAAGTTCGAGTCTCTTTGCAGAACAAATTAATTGTTTAGAAACAATATGAGTGTTTAAACAAAAACACGCATTAAAGATTTAGCAATGACACAGACTTAATAACTGTAAACTACTGTACTCCTACTGTTTCCTGAGAATTGAGAGATTAATTCTTGAAAATATAGATGAAAGATGCTTGTATATATAGAATTTACACCTTAATTGTCTTGATAAGGTTTAGGGTCCGTCTACTAACAGAAACTTCAAACACAAAAAATTATACTTTCATAGGTTCCAAGGAGGTTTCTGTCTGCGTGGAACATACTTCTGTATAACCTGATATATCGTCTGAAAGCATAGAAGATTCTTGAAAAGGCGCAGCTGGAATTTGGAAAACAGGCCGAGGAGGGACTTCAAGAGCATCAACACTTCCTTCCATCATCTCCAACTCTGTTCATCGATGGCGATCTGATGGAAGTTTGAATACACCACAACCTACTAGTGTCATCTTCTTTGTTACCTCTCTCGTCACTGCTGATTCCATTCTCTGTAGGCCTTTCATTGTCTCTCTTCTCAAGATCCTTGTATATCCATTCAGGGAAGTACATTGAGCTTGCGTTAGATGCAGAGGTTTGATCAGCTCTTTCTTTGTTCCTTGCTCCTATCATCTCAAGAACCAACATTCCATAGCTATACACATCTGACTTGTGGGAGACCCTACCATACATTCTTGAAAACACTTCTGGTGCAATGTAACCAATCGTTCCTCTTGTGTCCAGTAGTGACATATGCTTCCTTTCCTCTCGCAGAGCTGAGCGAGGCCAAAGTCAGAAACTTTGGGACAAAGATTCCCATCCAACAACACATTTTGAGGTTTGATATCGAAGTGCACGATCCTCGTTTTGCAGCCATAGTGCAAGTACTCTAGACCTCTAGCAACGCCTAGCGCGATCCCATACAGGACCATCCAATCCATGTTCATTGAGGGATTGCTTGAGATGAACTATCAAGAGATCCATTTTCCAAAAATTCGTAAATGATTGCTCTCTTGGAACCTTCAGAGCAGAATCCAAGCAGGTCAACAATGTTGACATGAGAGGTTTTGCTCATGCTTGCAACTTCGTTGATGAAGTCTTCAATTATTTCCCTTTGAGTCTTTCAAGATCTTCACCGCAACAGTACGGCCATCACATAGGGTTCCCTATAGACTGTTCCAAATCCGCCTTTGCCAACCACTTCAGCAAATGAGTTTGTCATTCTTTGACTTGTGCGTAGCTATAGTGTTTAGTGGAATAAGGGCCTTTAGATTCTGGTGTCTCTGATTATCTGATGTTTTCTTTCGCCATCTGATAAGACAGAACAAACTTACGGCTATAAGAATGATGAACAGCAGTCCAGAAGCAAACCCGATTCCTAGAGATGAAAACAAAAACAACATTTTCAATATAAGGTTATTTTGTTTCTTATGATCTATGGTAATCAAATCAGGTTTTTAGAACGAGCTAGAGAAGGGTAAGCACCTGCTCTGATCAATCCAGTAGAGCGACCTGCATTAATGGAATTACACCAGAAAAATGTCAGTTCGAACTTAATACAAACTTTGAATCTTGCCGGAAAGAAGAAAACATCTTAATATATTTGTAAATATATTTCCTAAATATTATATCAAAATTAAGTGTCATAGCCTCATAGGCGAATGTTTCTTCGTTTCTTTCGCCAAGCACGGCCCTGGTCAAAGTTTACGTTTTAGACTCTATATCCGTAATCGATTTGTGAAATCTGATGTTAAATGGAATGGTGGCAATCATTTAAAACGATCATGGACCAACCTTGACCATCGTTACAGGAGGATTTGTGAGGCTTGTCTAAACATAGACACCGGAAAATTTCCGATCCTGAGTCCGAACCACAAATCCCACTGGAGTCGGTACAATCCCGGCAAATCTCATCTTGTATACTGTACCTCATTTCGAACCCTTTTTCCAAAGCTATCCTCAATGCTTGCTTCGAGTCATTCGACTGGAGAAGAGCGTTCTTAGCAGACCCAAGCATCGGAATTTCTCCAACCTTGCTACAATTCAGGGGAAGATTAGACGATCCAAAGACATGATATATTCTCTGACCTTCGTTGCTTGCCAGGCAAGAAATCGTTGCTAGAGATGATGTTGGCGTGTGATTACCGAGGCAATCAAATAGATCGATGTACTCTGTTTTAGGGCTTAATCCGAAATGATCATCGCCGTTGAAGCTCCAAATATCTGAGCAAACACCGTCGAGCAAACTCTCATCGGCTACGGTGATTGTCTTATCACTCAGATTCGCAGAAACAACGCGAAGAGTGAGATTTTTGATCTCTAGGGTTAGGTTTTGATTCTCCTGGCAAGAAAGCTCGTACTCTGTCTGGCCGCAGAAGTTTGGTTTGCCGATGTTATCGCCCCAAAATGGGTAAGTGATATTCGGGAACACCGATGGTCCAGATCCACATCGCAGTGGTAACCGGCACTCCTCGTACTGTTGATCGGCGGAGAAGCACGACGGGAAGCAAGCGACGGAGAAGATGACGAAGGTGATGAGGAGAAAGGAGATAGACATTAGGGCGTTGACGAAGACTAGAAATGTGTTTTTGTTTAGTTGAGAGGCTTTTGGGGATTTCATGAAAGAAAGATATTTAAAAGGGTCCCTATTTAAAATCTATAGTTGTCTTTTCTACTAGTAGAAACTTCAAACACAAGGAGAAATATTTTTTACATCCATTAAAACCACCTCTAATTAACTGTCATGTAAAACAATGAAAACAAAAGGTAAACTGGATAATAATTAGTGTTAGCCCAAAAAACTATGATTAGAGATAATTCAACAAATTGCTTCAAAGTCATTAGGAAAAATCGTGATTAAATGAGAAATGAACAAGACACATGAAATCAGATTGAAACTGTCAAGTGGGTCTTCAAAAAGATTATCTCCTAAATATGCTCGTCTTCATTCTTTTAAGCTGATCAAAGAACAAAGTATTGATTTACGGAGACTAAAAAGTCAAAGTCTTTGGTTGAAAATTTCACTTATATAGATCAAATGTTCTAGTCTTTCAAACTAAAAATTTTCTTTCAAACAATAAAGAAATTTCTTGATTCAAACTTTGAAAATTTCTTCTACTTTTTTTTTTTTTTTTGGTTTTAAGGTTAATATTTTATTACCAAAAGGAGCACTACTACGAATTACAAAAGCTAATAAGAAAGCTTACTCTGTACAACTTACCCATGGAACGCTGCCCAAAAACTACTATAACGGATATGAAATACAACTGAAATAAATTTCGAGGAGAGAAGGATTGCTATCCGTTGCCGGGTAGGATAAGAGTCGATCACGGATTGATCGGTCCACCGCATTCTTCAGAGCTGCCGCCGGAGTGGAAATCGGCGTAAAAATCCTTGCGTTCCTTTCACGCCAAATTGCATAAGCAGTCTGTTGTAGAAGGAGCTTCATGATGACCCTCTTAGGTCTTGAACCCGGGTTTGAAGGCTGAAGCAGATGCTCTCTGTAACTTCCGGAAGGGAGAGGGGTAAATTTGGGCCATCTACTCTTGATGCCAGAGAGAGCCACACCTCTTTGGAGTAGTCGCACGAGAAGAAGAGGTGGTCGTGAGTTTCCTGTGCCACGGAACATAACGGGCAAATAGCTGAGACCGACATACCCCATCTAATCAATCTATCCTTAGTCGGTAGTCGGCCAAGAAATACCAACCAGAGAATGAATGAGCAGCGTGGAACTGCCTCCTTGAACCAAACCAAAGGTGCCCAGTTTACACGCTGTGACTGAATTCTGAGCTGCTCCCACGTTCCCTTGGAGGAGAAAGTGGTAGAGTAACTGTCGCTCGGCAAGCGCCAAAGGAAAACATCATCCCCTCTCTCCGGATCTGGCGGCACTATTGTTGTCAGAGTGATCTGAAGTTCTTCGCTTCTCTCTGACCTTGCACTCGGCAAATTCCACGCACCATTTAAGACTGCATCCTTTACCTTCGCGTCCAAACTGACTCTAAACAGGCGCGGTCCTGCTTGTCCCACAAAGTCAATAACAGGGCCATGCTCCGTCCAATTGTCAAACCAGAAAGAAGCCATCCTTCCATTCTTTATCTCACATTTTAAGAACGTAGAAAGCAGAGGCTTTAACTGAAGTAGACTCCTGATGCTTCTGGAGAATCTCGCCGCATCGTTTGTGATCCAGTAGCTTCTCCGGGCAAAGATATGCTGCCATACCCAGGCAATCCAGAGAGAGTCTTCCTTGGTGAACAGATTCCATGCCTGTTTCAGCCTAAACACCACCTCAAACTCGCTTAGCTGCCTTATACCCAAGCCTCCTTCACTCTTCGGCTTGCAGATATCCTTCCAGGCAACTCTAGCTCCACCTGCTGATTGCGTCCCATTTTTCCACAAGAACGCGGAGCAAAGAGAGTCCACACGCGAGTAAAATTCCTTAGGGAGCGTGTACACTTGGCTCCAGAAATTCACCATGCCATAGACCACCGAAGAAACCAGCTTAATCTTTCCTGCAAAGGAGAGAAATTTGGCTGTGTACGAGTGAAGCTTCTTGGTTATCTTCTCCAGGAAAGGCTCAAGAACCGCTATTGACAGTCTCTGCGAGTTAAGAGGCAACCCCAGATATCTCGTCGGGAAAGTCCCTATCCTCACCTCCATTATTCCACTCAAAACCTCAGCCTCTGCCTCTGAATAACCGCTAAAGAAGACCTCTGATTTTGCTGCATTCATATCCAAACCAGACAATGATTTGAACCGAGACATTACACCTTTAATACCTGCCATAGACTCCTGGGATCCATCTGAGAACACTAACAAGTCGTCAGCAAAGAGAAGGTGCGTGATTAGCGGATTCTCACACTGCGGATGCAGGGCAAATTCACCGTTTCTTCCCGCCAAGTCCAGTAACTTAGACAGAGCTTCCATCACAAGGATGAACAGATATGGTGAAAGTGGATCCCCCTGTCTCAGGCCCTTCTTTCCCGCAAAGAAGCCCGCTGGCTCTCCATTGACCAGGATTGAAAATTTCGCCATAGAGTAACACTGCCTGATCCATTCCCTGAAGAGAGGCGGGAAGTTCTGCGCTTCAAGAATCTTATCCAGGAAATCCCAGCAAACAGTGTCGAAGGCCTTCCTCAGATCAACTTTCAACATCGAGGCTCTAGGACAGTTGCTTCGCTGGTAGGTTCTGATAAGCTCCGTTGCCAGAAGCACATTCTCGCCTAAGCTCTTTCCCTTCTGCAAAACAGGCTTGAGCCTATTTGCAATAATCTTCTACTTCTCTACGTGGCTCTTACAATTTCCACAATCATTGAATCTGTAGGATAAACCCAAAAACTCCTCTGTAAACTCCAAATCATCTCGATGGTCTCGATTTTCATTGTTCTTGCTCTTCCAGCTTTTGAGCATCTTTGTTCAGCTCAGAGAACAGAGCAACAACAACAACAACAGCAGAGTTTGTTTTCAGATTCAAACAGAAGGAGTTGCGATGATCCAACCCAATGGTGTATTGAGACTCACCGATCAATCCTCAAACGTCCTTGGGACAGCGTTCTACAACAAACCGGTGAGATTGCTTGACCATAGCAATCTCTCCACCAACGCCACAGTTCTTTCTTTTAGCACTTCATTCGTCTTCGGCATACTCTTTACCAGCTCCCGCAACGGAGGTTACGGTTTAACCTTCACACTATCTCCCACACCAAACCGTCCAGGCGCCGAGTCAGGACGTTACTTAGGACTCGTCAACGAACAGAACAACGGGAACTCATCGAACCACGTGTTCGCAGTTGAGTTCGACACAGTACAAGGATCCAGGGACGACAACAGTAGTGGAATAAGCAACCACATCGGTCTAAACTTCAACGGTGTCACCTCCTTTGTGGAGGAACCGGTTCTGTATGAAGACGGTGATAACCGAAGAGAAGAAGTCCACATCCGAGTCCGTTTGGATTACGACGGACCCACCCAAACTCTGAATATGATCGCAACTCCTTGGAGGTTTCAAAACGACCCAGGACAACCAACGATCTCGCAACGCATTCCTAAGCTGTCAGAGATCGTGCAAGAAGAGATGTACGTTGGATTCACCGCGTCCACAGGGAGAGATCAGTCGAGTGGCCACTATATTATGGCTTGGAGTTTCACAACCGGTCGAGAGAATTTATCAGTCCCATTTCGAGACATTCCTCTTTTGGTGCTCACTAAAGGTTACAAATGATTTCTTCAGTTAGTCTATAGTTTTGTAGAAGGGTTTGGAACTGTTTACAAAGGACACCTTCCTGATGGTCGTAAGGTCGCGGTCAAGGTTTTGAAGGAATCAACGAGCAATGGCGAAGACTTCATCAACGAAGTCGCAAGTATGAGCCAAACATCTCATGTTAACATTGTCTCTTTAGTTGGATTCTGCTTTGAAGGATCCAAAAGAGTGATTGTTTATGAGTTTCTAGAGAATGGGTCTTTGGATCAGTTTATCTCAGCAAATGCCTCGTCAAGTGCTGAGTGGAGAATGAGGCTTTACGAGATTGCGCTAGGAGTCGCTCGTGGTCTTGAATACTTGCACTATGGCTGCAAAACAAGGATTGTGCATTTCGACATCAAACCTCAGAATGTGTTGTTGGATTGCAATCTTTGCCCCAAAGTTTCGGACTTTGGCCTCGCTAAGCTCTGCAAGAAGAAAGAGAGCACCATGTCGATGTTGGACACAAGGGGAACAATAGGGTACATTGCACCGGAGATGATCTCTAGAGTTTATGGTAGCGTGTCTCACAAGTCAGATGTGTATAGCTATGGAATGTTGGTTCTTGAGATGATCGGTGCAACAAACAAAGACAGAGTCGGAAACGTTGCTTCTAACACTAGCTCGGTTTATTTCCCTGATTGGATCTGTAAATGTAACGCCCCGCCGCCCTCCCAGTAACCCACGCCCTCTCTCGACCCGTGGGCCCCACCCTTGTCCGACGGTCGGTGCGTTATTTTTTTGGAGGCTCCGAGAATGTATTTACTATCCTTGCAATCATCACCCGACCTTTTCCCGTGTTTTTTCCTAATTCACACGGTTTCGCAGAGGACTTCCCGAAAGATCACCCATCCTTCCACTACTCCAGCCCAAGCACGGTTAACTCTGGAATTCTTTATGGGCCCTTGATCGAAAAGGTAAGTGCACTTTGATGACATAGGTAGCCAAATCAATTCTTTTAACCTCTTCTCATTTATTACAAACCGGGATGTTACAGTAAAGATCTTGAAAATGAACAGTGTGGTAAGCTTTTTGGGGAAGAACTAAGTCAAGAAGAAGAAGAAATCACGAAGAAGATGATCTTGGTGGCTTTGTGGTGTATTAAGTCTTATCCATCAAATCGACCATCCATGAACAGAGTTGTAGAGATGATGGAAGGAAGCTTGGATGTTCTTGAGTTACCTCCTAGGCCTGTTTTGCAAATTCTCACGGCACCCCTTCAAGATTCATCAACATTTTCAGGGGATATCTTAGTTTACACAGAATGATGATCCAAGAAAAATATATTATTCAAGAAATTTTATACTTCCTCCGTTTTAAATTAGTTGTCGTTTTGGGAAAATGTATCTGTAATTATTTGGATGTATCTGTAATGCAAAACACGTCCAGAAACGTCCAAATATTTGTAGATACATTTTGCCAAAACGACAACTAATTTGAAACGGAGGGAGTATATAATAAGAGGTCATCTCTCTCCATATGACTGACACGTCAGCACAGGGGAGAGATGGCCACGTGGCTTTCTGAGAGGAGTGTCAATCTCATTTATCTTCTCCGCGACTATTTTTGTTTGCTTTTCACCTTTTTCTCTTTCCTCCACCAAATCGCTTCTTCTCCGATCTGAGATCTTACATCCCAAACCAATCCTTCTTGTAGAACATTGCTTGATTCAAGGTAGATTTCCTTTCTTCTTCTCGATTTCCCCAGAATGTAAATCATCCCTTACGCTTATTGATTTCGTCTCGCCTCAGATTTTTATTGTATTCGCGCCTTCGTCGAGAATTCTCCGGCTGAAATGGCGGAATCAACGCAACGGCACCAAACGCCGATACTTTGAGGCTGGTTTTAGACAAGACACTAACGGAGTCTCTCCAAGACAGAAGAATTATCAAAGATCGCAGCGACACTGACGGAAGTTTCAATGCCTTGAAATCGATTGACGAGTCGTTTGGAATCCTGATCGTCTGAGGGAAGCAGAAACGAAGAAGCCGGAATCTGAGATCTCTTCGTCTTCTCCAGTTCGATGCCCAAATTTCCGGACGAGTTTTGGTGCAGCCTCTCGACTGATATCATGAGCGAACATGTACTCATTGCTTCTGAGCAGGTGATTTATCCTCCATTTTTTATTTGCTGATTTTATATATTTCCATGATTTCTTTGGGATTCTTCCTCGATTTTGCTCATAATTATATGTGATATGAATTTGTTGTTAATGGTGGGAAGATGTGGTTTTACACTGAATCGACGATTTATGATTTCAGTGTCTGTGTTGTTTGGAATCAGATGTGATGAGCGATGAAACCCAAATCGAGTTATTGATGTGGAAATGGTTCTGTGTTTAGGCACTTGAAATAAAGACGTTGATTTCCTTTTAGCTGACCAAGTTTCTGACTTACATTCATTCTTTCTATGGATTCCTTTTAGAGATTTTGTCACTGAGTAGTTATGTTTTGGGTTTCTCATGGGATCAGGAGCAAGCAAAGCTCTCGGCTTATCGAGATAGCAGATTTTCAGGAACACAAGAGGAGTTCGACTAGGCGATAAGGACATCTTCGACAGTTTACATTGGGATTTGGGAATGTGTCCTTCTACACAACCGGGGAGCGGATTTACGAGCTTTTCTCAAGAACATGACCATATCAAGGTATGGATGTAGCTACATTATGGTGAGATTTGTTCCATCTTCTCCATTTTTATGTTCAAGGTACATGGTGAGATTTGCATGTAGCTAGACACGAACCAGATTGAAGATCCTGGCTACCGTATAAGGTAAACAAACTCAACAAGAACTTACTCTGTTCTGTTCTTTTAACCCTGGATTATTATGAAGAAATAACACTCGGGAAACAAAGACTCGGGTTCAAGAATAAACTAAGGAGATGATTAGCAAATTCAGAAATCAGTTTGCCCCCAAAATCATCTTTTCTCAACTTATTGTCCATTGCACACAACCAACCATAGAAAAGGTATATCATCAATTATGCACTTATATATAATAATAATAATAATAATATCTTCTTCTTTTCAATTATTTATGTTGCCCGTGAAGTTGATATCACAAAGGACCAGAGAATGCTATGTCGATGGTGAATGATAGGGTAGATACGACCACAAAACCAGAAATCTGGTAAGCATTTTCAGGTTGAAACAAAAATTTCTTTGCTGATTCACTTCTGGAACATGATTTAAAGAGACATAGTGTCTTCTTGTATCAGATCCTTCGATATGCTTGCTTTGCACATAAATTTTTGTAAAAAATAGAAGACACTAATTGAATATACGAGTACAAAGAGATTAAATTACTGTTAGCAGGAAGGATATATGTATGTGTATTTCTGAGATAGTTTGGTGTCAAAGGATCAACTGAACACAAATGTGTGGAGTTTATGACAAAATGATTTGCAGGAAACCTTATCCATTTCGTACTTTCTCTTCCAGCTCTTTATATTCGTAATAACATTTGATGTTGTGATGATCATGCTTACAAGTAAATTATGAATTAGCTTTGTATTTGTTATCTTACGTTTCCCTCTGCATCATCCTACATTTAAGAATCTCAGTTGTACTAAGTTTTAGCTGAGAATAGACATTTGCAAACTATGAACATTCTAATTTACTTTAACGCTTGATGAAGGATCTTTGGGTAATATAATCATTATGCAGGTTTTGAGTATACATAGCATACATTTCTACAATAGAGATTATTAAGGTTGTAGTGTGTTATGGGTATTGTTATTTCTCGCAAGAAAACCATGAGAGTCTGTGTTGAAAAGCTTCCAAGAATAAGTGAGGAGATACTAAGAAAAGCTACAGTAGGAACGATGGAGGATTAGCAATGATACAGAAAACGGTAGAGAAGCTTCAAGTGAAACACAAAGACAACATCACTGCTTACGGTGAAGGCAACAAGGCAACAAGCGTCGTCTCACTAAGAAGCGTCGTCTCACTAGAAGATGAAAAGAATGAAAGGAGATAGAGAAATAGTGAGAGATAGTAATAAACCGCAAGAGATTTTGTCTAATCAAATTTAAGGTATAATAACTTTTGATTAACTTGATATTTGTGCATATGTAATATTTCTCTGTGTTTAACTTTAAGAAATGATTATTAATATTTAATCTCTTGAAAAGGGCATTATCAATTTAAATTACTTTTTTTTTATAAAGTTAAAGTGTAGAGTATTCTCCCATCAAAATAAGTATTATACAGAAAACGGTAGAGAAGCTTCAAGTGAAACACAAAGACAACATCACTGCTTACGGTGAAGGCAACAAGCGTCGTCTCACTAAGAAGCGTCGTCTCACTAGAAGATGAAAAGAATGAAAGGAGATAGAGAAATAGTGAGAGATAGTAATAAACCGCAAGAGATTTTGTCTAATCAAATTTAAGGTATAATAACTTTTGATTAACTTGATATTTGTGCATATGTAATATTTCTCTGTGTTTAACTTTAAGAAATATTATTAATATTTAATCTCTTGAAAAGGGCATTATCAATTTAAATTACCTTTTTTTTTATAAAGTTAAAGTGTAGAGTATTCTCCCATCAAAATAAGTTTTAGCCAAACCATAAAATTATGAGATAATAGACCTGAATTTTGATGTTTAAAAATACAATAACAGAAAAACAATTTTTAATAGGTACTAAATTTATGAAATAAGCAGCAAAAAATAAGATTAATTGCCAAATTAATTGACATTTTTAGAAAATAATTTTGCAATGTATCTAGCTATATTAAAGTCAAAACACATCCATATACATTGCAAATATATTTTCTTCAAACGAAAACTAATATAAAAAAGAGGAAATATTAAGATTAATTAGTTTAGATTTTAAAAGTACAAAGAAACCAAAAATACTATTAAAATTAATTAGTTTGGATTAAAAAAGTACAAAACCACCCACCGGCTCTAACCTAGTCTTATATATAATAAGAGATCAACTCTCTCTAATTGATCGACACGTCAGCACCAGAGAGAGTTGGCCACGTGTCAGCTTCTCCCATTTTGTTTCACACATTTTGTTTTTATTTCCTTTCTCTCCTTCTCCTCTGAATCGTCTACTCTCTCTTCTCTCTCCTCCGCGCCATCACTCCTTCTCGGCAAATCTCCACGACTTCTCCAACGACGGGATTTGCCCTCAAAACTTTCTCACGCCCCAAAATCACCCTCTACCACGCCTCTCATAAACTTCAAACACATCAAATCGCATGCTGCACAATTCATTGACCCTAACGCTCCTTCACAACCATTTCAATTCGTTCTGCCCCAAATTGATTTTTAGAGACATGTTGTTATCAATTGATCGGCCCTTCCGGTCCTTATGAATTTATTACGAATGTCTTCGCTCCCGGAATCCCGCCACTCGGGAATTTACAGTCTCTCGACTCAGGGTACGACGATTTACTCGCTTCACCATTTGTCCGATCAAAGGGCGTCATTTTCGCAGGTAGATGCTAGGCATGAATCTTATCGTTGACGAATGTTTGTTGATGGGGTGATTTGCCATCAAAATGAATTTTACCCAAACCATGAAATTAAATGATAATGAACTCAATTTTAATATTATAAAGATGCCTTAATAAACAGATTTTTGTAATAGTTACTGAAATAAGCAGCAAAAGTAATAATTTGTTCAGAAAAAACAAATATAGATGAAATTCACATTATAAATATTGTATTTTATAGAAAATATATGAAAATACACGTTTTTATAAAGAATAACATCAAATAACGATCTATTAATTTGAATTGATTGTTTTTAATTGAGTTTTTTTTATAAATACCCACGTGTAGCATTTTTCTAAATCAACTCAAACTTTAAGATAAATTATTTATTAACTGAACAAGTAAAGTTTCACTTATCTGATACTCAAAGACATTCATATAGATATACTTCTGCCAAATCTATATTTCATTTCGGAATTGCATCTTAAAAGCTACAAAATAGGGGAAATGAGCTCAAGTGATGAAAAAAAACTCAAGAAAACTCTAGGCTTGACACTTTATCCTTTTGGGTCGTCATCGGATCAAGTTTTTTAGGTTTCGGGTTTTCGAGTTTAGAGATATAGACCCGTTCGAGTTTTTCTTTTTTTAAAAAATCGATTCGGGTTCTATTCAAGTGTTTTTGGCTTCGGTTCGAGTATTTTCGGGTTTTTATAGGCTTTTGGATTTCTTTCGAGTTTCACTGGTTTAAAGATATGAAAGCCGTTTGAGGCTTTTAAAAACTTTTGTTTGGGTTCGATTCGGGTTTTTGGGTTGAGTTCGGTTTCCGGTAAAAGAAAATGTCATATTTAGAAGAACAATTAGTTTCACAACATTAAAAAGTAAAATTTTATGTAGAAAAAATAACAATACCATCTGCGCGAAGCGCGGGCTTTAACCTAGTGTGTTATAATGTTTACATTCTGGATTAACCAATTCTTGACAAATCGATTGAGGCGTTACACCCAAAGATGACATCAGGAACATTTTTTAAAATTTAATCTCCCCAACCTGTTTTGTAGAGCTTCTTCTTCGTGTATTTGGTCTGAGTCACTGCCAAATTGTATTTTCTTGTATCTTGTTCAAACATTCTTGTTGCACATTTTCTATAGAAGTGAAACTTTTCAACCTAGTCTTGTTCAAACTTTCAAATTGTTGATTTTTTCTAGTCTCCTAAATTTTCTTTGGTCGGCTTCAGCGATTCTAAGAAATCTTACATTACAGAATAACATTTTACTGCTAATAAAAACAGTTAATAACTTAAAGTTGCATTGTATCACAAGTTAAATCTTCTTCTATCAGTCGTCATAGGAGAAGGTTTTTTTCTGACCACGGCTGATGCCTGGTGAATAAAAGCTTCGTACCCTCAGCTTCGCTTTGTTAATCAAACCAAGGTCTTCTCGTCGAAGGTTGTCTTCGTACCTGACATACATAAAAAAAAAAAAACCTTTGTCATCCCTCAATGTATACCAAAAAGCTTCACTCAGTGTGATCTTCTTGATAACAAAACTATAAAAAAGCATCTAGTTAAATCCCTTACCAAAGCTTCTCTGCAAGCTTGTGCAAGTTGTACCTAATTAAGAATAACAAATAGTAGCGTTAGTCTTCTGTTATGACATCAAAACAAATATAGCATAATTAGGAAATCAAAATCTCAATTTACTTGCGACGGAAAGGGTATGGAGCTATCTCAGCCATGTTAACATAAACCATACTACCATCCCTCCATTGCACTGCCTACAGTATAAAAAGATTTAATCAATCATCAATCCTACTTTCATATAACTCTACTTTTCATCAGTACTATGAAAGTATAAACTACTCTCACCTTCTTTGCTTCGTTAGCAGAAGCGAACTCAACAAAGCAACAACCCACAAGCTCACTCTTGTGGTCTACAATAAGTCGAACACGAACAATTTTCCCAACACCTTTGAAGATTTCATTGCTGTAAAAATCGAGGGTAAAATATAAGTCTTGGAAAAACTTGCTCCAATAACGGAGGAAATTTAAGGTGATTACTTACATATGTTTTATGTCAAGAGCGTATTTTTCCATAGAGACATTGGCAACAAAGACCGTCTTTTCTCTTGCGGCAACTTCCTGAATTTCGTTGCCATGTGTGTTAGGTTAGCAGTAGCACGATAAAGAGAAAAGAAAAAAGGACTTAAGTAGCATATCAACAAAAACTAGATGCATCCCCATATTAAGTCATTTTTTGAGTTATTAAACGCTCAACGTTTCTTTTGAGCCTGACATGTTTTGAAGATCATAACTACATTTACCTCAACATTATCCGGAGTTTCTTCAAGTCCTTTCACTGCCGCGTCTTCTTCTACAAGAAGGGTTTCTCGTCGAATGTAGTCTTCGTACCTGGAATATCAAAAACACTTGTGATCACTACGTGTATTACCAATAAACTTCACCCAATATGCAAATAGTTAAAACCCTTACCAAACCTTGTGATCTACGCAATACCTAATTAACAAAAGTATTAGTGTTAGTCTTTTGCAATGGCATCAAAACCCTAGCAATAACTTACAGGAAAAAAAAATGGAAACCCAATTTACATGGGTCGTCGAGGGTATGGAGGGTATCGATTTGCCTTAACAACATCAAGAAATATCTCGCAATCGTGCAAACATTCACCGTTCTTGTTTTCCAGCGCCTACGCAGTAAAAAAGTTTTTTCATCATAAGTATACACTACTTAAATACTTTTATTCATCATCACTATAAACTACTCTCACCTTGTTTGCTTCGTCAGAAGAAGCAAACTCAACAAAGCCATCACCCACATGCATGCCCTTCTTGTTTACCATAAGTCGAACATGCACAACTTCCCCAACATCTTTGAAGAAACTGATGCTGTAAAAAATGGAGGATAAAATATTAGTTTCATGAAAAGCTTGCTCAGAGAACGAAAGAGGAAACTAAAGGTGATACTTACATATCTGATATTCCAGTTTCGTCAGAGAGATTGGCGACATAGAGCGTCTTCTCTATTACGGCAGTTGCCTGAATTTAACAGTCAAGTGTGTTATCAGCAAGATTTATTCTGACATATTTTGAAGATAATAAGGAGCTTTATCAGGTATATACCTCAACAGAATCAGGAGCTTTATCAGGACCTTTCATAAGAAAAATCTTATGATCGTGCAAAAATTCACCATTCTTGTTTTCCAGCGCCTACACAGTATAAAAGAGCTATCATACTTTCAAATAACTAGCTGTATAAAGTATACAATTTTTTTTTTTCATGATTACTACAAAACTAGTCTCACATTCTTTGCTTGGTGAACAGAAGGAAACTCAACAAAGCCACAGCCCACATGCTTTCCCTCGTGGTTTACAATAAGTCGAACACTGGTAGCATAAGCAACATCATCGAAGAAGTTGATGCTGCAAAGTTTGGAGGATAAAACATCAGTCATGAAATACTTGATCCAAGAACGAAATTAAGTTGAAGGATTAAGGTGGTGTTACTTACATATGTGATATTCTAGTTGTCTGGGGAGAGAGATTGGCAATAAAGAGTACTACCTGAATGTAACAGCCAAATGTGTTAGCTGTTAGCACGACTCTATAGAGAGAAAATTACTTAAATTGCATAACATCAAAAAGTAGATGTACTTTGTGGCAACATTTGAGTTATTAAACCCTAAGCCTCACATACTTTAAATATAATAAGAACAGGTACTTAACAGAATCAGGAGGTGTCTCATCTTCATCTTCATCTTCATCCTCTTGCTCTTGCTCTTGTTCTTTTATCGGAAGGCTCTCTTGTTGAGGGTAGTCTTCGTACCTAGAATATGAAAAGCCCTTATGATATCTCCACAAATTTTCACTCATTGTGCTCTTTGATAACAAAACAAGAGGCAATAGTTAAATCACTTACCAAACCTTGTGATCTATGCAATACCTAATCAATAAAAAAAAACAAAATAGCGTTAATAGTATGTAAAAGCATCAAAACCCTAGCAATAAATTAAGGAGACAAATCTCCTAATTAAATCAATTTACTTGGGGGGAAGGAGTCCATGAGCTCCCATAAGAAAGATCTTATCATCGAGCAAATATTGACGGTTCTTATATTGCAGCGCCTATAGTATACAAGACTTAATCAGCAATCTTGCTTTCAAATGAAAACATAAAAAGATACTTTTATCTATCATCTTCATTACTATAACAAAAAAACTCGATCCTCACCATCTTTGATTCCCTATGCGTAGCAAACTCAACAAAGCCACTACACCTATAATTAGCCTGATTGTTTACAAGACGTCGAACACGGACCACTTGTCCAACATCTTTGAAGAAATCAATGCTGTACAAAATGGAGGATAAAATACATCAGTGCATGAAAATCTTGCTCCGAGGATAACTTAAGTTGCCACTTACATATCTGATATTTCAGCTTTGGGAGGGAGAATTCCAATGAAGAGCGTCTTTTTACAGGCGAGAGGTTTCTGAATTTAACAGCCAAATAAGTGTGTTAGCACGACTCTAAGAACTTAAACTGCATAACAAAAATGTAGATTCATCCCAATTGTAAAGTCGTGTTTCGACTTTGTGGCAATAGTTGTGTTATTAGACATTGAGCGTTACTTGCGTATGTCGGAAAGATAATAAGAACAAGATGCTTAATTGAACATAAACAGTACAATGTATAAATCTTCCAAAAATTATAAACCTTAGCCTGATCAGAATTTGTCTCCTTGTCCTCGGAATTTTCCTTGTTTTTCTTCAGAATCGGTTTGGCCTCCAAATCATCTTCCGACTTTCGCTTACCCAATGAATTAGCTGCAGAACTGGCCATGGAGAAGCTGGAAACAGCAACGGATTTTTCTTTTACCGGGAAGAGTAGAGAGCAAGCAATATGTTACAAATAACCCTAGAGATCCACCGAGGAAGAAGGTAATTGTAAAACAATAATCTTGTTTGTGCTGGGTTGGGCTTTTATTGGTTGGCTTTGATGTGCATCAACACCATCCCAGAAAATCAATGGGTTATTGATTAATTTATATTTATTTTTAATTATTAAAAAATCGTTTGTCATTTATTTTTGTATTATGTATATGTAATTTATAAAATCATCATGCGTTAATTGTCATCCCGCATTGACTTTGACTCTGAGCAAATTTTCCTAGAATTAGTTTTGTTAATCATTAATTTGTTCTCTTATCTATTCTCCTATCATATTAAATCAAATACTGAATAAAAAATAAATATATAAGTAGTGTTTATATTCACCAAACTGAGAATTCTGTGATTTATTATTTAATACATTTGATTTCATTTGTTGTTTAATGTTTCAATGTTTCAATGTGATATGTTGCTTTTGAGAACAAATAAATTGATGTTACTGTAATACTGTGTGATGTGAACAAACCATTGAAAAGCGAGAAAGAAAGAAAATTCTTGTTTGAAACTTTGAAATTTCTTTTTTCTTCTCAACGTGGCTCTTACAATTTCCACAATCATTGAATCTGTAGAGATAAACCCAAAAAAAAATCCTCTGTAAACTCCAAATCATCTCTTGTTCTCTCTCTTCTTGATTTCCTATGTCTCGATCCATGGTCTCGCTTTTGTTCTTGCTCTTCCATCCCTTGGGCGTCTCTGTTCAAGCTCAGAGAACATCAACATCAACAACAACAGAGTTTGTCTTTCCAAGTTTTACAGGAAACGAATCAATGATTCAAACAGAAGGAGCTGCGATGATCCAACCCAATGGAATATTGAGACTCAACGATCGTAAATCAAACGTCCTCGGGACAGCGTTCTACAACAAACCCGTAAGATTGCTTGACCATACCAATCTCTCCACCAACGCCACTGTTCGTTCTTTTAGCACCTCATTCGTCTTCGGCATACTCTTCACCAGCTCCCGCAACGGAGGTTACGGCTTCACCTTCACACTATCTCCCACACCAAACCGTCCAGGCGCTGAGTCAGGACGTTACTTAGGACTTGTCAACGAACAGAACGACGGGAATTCATCGAACCACGTTTTCTCCGTTGAGTTCGACACAGTACAAGGATCCAGGGATGACAACAGTAGTAGAATAAGCAATCACTTCGGTCTAAACTTCAACGGTATCACCTCGTTTGTGGAGGAACCGGTTCTGTACGAAGACGGAGATAACCGAAGAGAAGAAGTCCAAATCCGAGTCCGTTTGGATTACGACGGACCCACACAAACTCTGAGTTTGTTGGCAACTCCTTGGAGAATCCCCAGTGACCCACGACAACCAACGATCTCGCAACGCATTCCTAAGCTGTCGGAGATCATGCAAGAAGAGATGTACGTTGGTTTCACTGCGTCCACAGGGAAAGATCAGTCGAGTGGTCACTATATCATGGCTTGGAGTTTCACTAGCGGTCGAGAGAATTTAACAGCAGCCACGCTGCTCCCATATCGGGACATTCCTCTTTTGGTCCTCACTAAAGGTTACAAATGATTTCTTCAGTCAGTCTAGAATTTTATTTCAATACTTACAATAGCTATACTTTTTTTTCAGATAATAAAGCCTTGGTGTCAAAGATTCTCATAGGTTGGATACCTACCCACCAAACTCTTGAGGTTTCTTGGTACACAAGTAACTAACTGAATCTATGCTCTTGTTTTATTTTTTTAGTTGCGAGTCCGGTAGTAAGTATTCTCGTGGTGTTGGGGGTTATAGCGTTTTTTTATCAGAAAGAGTAGAATATCAAATGCAAAGAGAAGAAAGAATTTAAAAGCTCTAATTCCGCTGAAACATTACCGTTACAATGAAGTGAAGAGGTTTACAAACTCATTTGCTTGCGTCGTTGGGAAAGGAGGGTTTGGAACTGTTTACAAAGGAAACCTTCCTGATGGTCGTAAGGTCGCGGTCAAGGTTTTGAAGGAATCAAAGAGCAACGGAGAAGACTTCATCAACGAAGTCGCAAGTATGAGCCAAACATCTCATGTTAACATTGTCTCTTTGGTTGGATTCTGCTTAGAAGGATCCAAAAGAGTGATTGTTTATGAGTTTCTAGAGAATGGGTCTTTGGATCAGTTTATCTCAGCAAATGCCTCGTCAAGTGTTGAGTGGAGATTGAGGCTTTACGAGATTGCGCTAGGAGTCCTCGTGGTCTTGAAATACTTGCACTATGGATGCAAAACAAGGATTGTGCATTTCGACATTAAACCTCAGAATGTGTTGTTGGATTGCAATCTTTGTCCCAAAGTTTCAGACTTTGGCCTTGCTAAGCTTTGCAAGAAGAAAGAGAGCACCATGTCGATGTTGGACACAAGGGGAACAATAGGGTACATTGCACCAGAGATGATCTTTAGAGTTTATGGAAGTGTGTCTCACAAGTCAGATGTGTATAGCTATGTAATGTTGGTTCTTGAGATGATCGGTGCAACAAACAAAGACAGAGTCGAAAATGTTGCTTCTAACACTAGCTCGATATATTTCCCTGATTGGATCTATAAGGATCTTGAAAATGTATAGTAAGCTTATAGGGGTTGAATTAACTCGAGAAGAAGAAGAAATCACAAAGAAGATGATCTTGGTGGCTTTGTGGTGTATTCAGCCGTATCCATCAAATAGACCATCTATGAACAGAGTTGTAGAGATGATGGAAGGAAGCTCGGATGATCTTGAGTTACCTCCTAGGCCTGTTTTGCAATTCCCCATAGCACCTCTTCAAGATTCATCAACACTTTCAAGGGACATCTCAGTTTACACAGAATGATGATCCTAGAACACTATCTATAAGTAGTAATAAAAAACAGAACATTATTTATTTAAGAAATGTAATACTGATGCAGTGTATATATAAATAACATTATGTATTATTTCTATGTTTTCTGTGTTTTTATTTAGGTAATCTTAGGGTTGTCATTGTTTTTAGGATTTTTTTTTTATAAATTAGCTGTTTCTGGCTTCATATAGTATTCAATTGATTTTGATTTATAAAATTGAGTTTTGAGCTGTGAGAGAAGAGTATTCAATAACCATTGTTTTCGGTAGATCTAGGAGATATCAACGAATTCAAAAATACATTGATTCTTATATATTCCTAGACTAAATAAGAATTTTGTATCTATCCATAGCTTCTGCTACGTCAAATACATTGTCAACACTCTAGATTAAGCAAGGGAAATTCTTGACAAATTGATGGAGGTGTTACACGCAAAGATGATGTCAAGAATTTTAATTTCCACTTTCAAAAACCTGTTTTGTAAAGCTTCTATTCGTGCTTGTATCTTGTTCAAAGTCATAGCTTACGTTTTATACATAAGTAAAACTTTCAACCCAAGTCTAGTTGAAACTTTCAAACCCTTCGAATTTTCCACTCTCCTAAACCTTCTTTGGTCTGCTTTAAATTAAGGCAGGAATACAAACATATATTTGAGATGGGAGGAGACAGTATATGGTATGAGTTTACGGGCAAGTCCCTCTCACTCCCACTGAAGATTTAGTTATATTATCCTACTAAGCCAAAAAAAAAACGATTTACAAAGAAAATGTTTCGAGCAAGTGGTGGAGATTGTATGCAAAGGAGAAGATTGGCCTGCCTTTAAACCTATCTCCCAGGACATCAACTACATGCTCACTGGTCTAAGCCAAAGCCGCGTAGAGTTCCGAGCGAGGGAAGGTAATCGAGTCGCTGATAGAGTAGCCAAGGAGACACATTCTTTTGTGAATTTTGTCCCTAAGGTGTACTCTATTGAGCCAAATTGGATTAGTACTTATGTACAAGCGGATAAAAACAGATGTAGCATTTCTTTGGTCAAATGGAAAAAAAATGTTTTGGAAAAAAGAGGAACATGCAATGACTAGTGTCTTCTCCATGTCTCAATTTCACCGTCTTAACAAAGCAAAAAGTAATTCATCGGCTTTTCTCTTCTGATTCTGTTTCTGTATAAAGCCATTATCTTCTCTATGTTGTTCCTTAATGTTTTTTTGTTCATGATCAAGTTTTGGTTCTTTGCTGATTTTTTCAATGGCTCTAAACAAATGATAAATATCTCTTTGTCCAATTTCGTTTTTTTTAAGGGTCAAGTCAACTAATAAAGACATGTGACAAAAAAAAAAAGACTCCAAGTCGTCTCTGTGTCTTTTACTATCCTTTGCTTGGTCCGTCACGAACCTTCGTTGTTTCTACTTTCTCATCATCTCTCTTTCTGTTTCCTCTCAAGCACAAAAAAACTGTTCATAGATCTCAAACAAATCATCTATTATCTGACATCCAACACGATGATCAATCTGTTTCAGTCGCCAACCAAACCAATGTCCTATGGAATCATATGGATGCTGTTTTTGATCCCATCTTTCGTTTTCTCAGCTAGTGATCTTTATACACGCTGCATAGGCTGGTTCATCTGCAGCGATCAGAGTCGTCTTCTAGATTACCCTTTCTGGACAGCTGGTAGAGAAGGCTGTGGCCACCCGGACTTCAAGCTCGAATGCAACGCAAATTTTCCAGAGCTAAACATCTCATCCGTGAAGTACAGAATCATGCAGCCAAACTATGACTCAACTGATATGATAAGACTTGCCAGATCGGATTATATCGGCTATCTTTGTCCGAACGATCCTTCAAGTGCGCCATTCAACGAAGAAGTCCTTCCATTTGCTCCTAATACAGAACTGATAACAATTTACCACGATTGCAGCCGAGACTTTTCACAGTCTGTTTCTACTTATGTTGGAAACCTTACTTGTGAGAATGATAGTGATGAAGGAAGAAGCTACTATGTGACAAGAAACATCTCGTCCGCTCTACTTAATGGGATTAGAGACTCTTTAAACGACTTTGGGAGATTTTGCAGAAACGTCAGCATTCCTGCATCTGGGCCTTCGCTGAACAGATTGCTGAACGATCGGACTCGAGATAATCTGCTGATGGCTCTTGCATATGGTTTCGAGCTTGGAGTTAGCCAAGAATGTCTGACGTGCAAGAACTCTGGTGGTGTTTGTGGATATAACCAGACCCTTCCCTCAACTGGATTCGTCTGTTATTGTGAAGATGAGCAGCCACTTACTCGTATTTGCATTAATACAAAAAAGGGTAATATTCCTTTCCTACATATTGCAATTCTTAGTCTTCTTGAATTTCTAGCAAGATTCAAAGTTCTCTCTTCAGTTTGGTCTGACCTTTTCTTGTGTCAATCTTTTGATGCAGACCTCTCTAAGGGAGTACAAGCAGGTGCTAACCTTTTCTTTTTGGTTCTTTCGTAACGGCCGATTCGATTACCATTGGCAACACCATAGACTTATTATGAATCTTGGATATTGTTTTCTCTCTAGGCATTGGTTCTGCTACTGGATCAGCAATTGTCATTCTTATAGCCGGATTGATCTGTACCATCATCATTGGGAGAAGGGAGACGCAGGCATCTCAACACACAACAACAAGCAAAGAATTGCCAATAACGTCTTATTCAAGCAAAGAACCATCTAGCTATCCAACTTCCACAACAGTATCCAGCAGCAAGAAGAATTACAAAGTCGTATGTTGGGGAAGAAAGACATCAGATGATCCCAGACAACAGAAGCTAAAGGCCCTTATACCACTGAAACATTATAACTACGCGCAAGTAAAGAGAATGACAAAGTCATTCGCCGAAGTGGTTGGGAGAGGTGGATTTGGAACTGTCTATAGAGGAACCCTTTGCGATGGCCGTAGTGTTGCGGTGAAGATCTTGAAAGACTCAAAGGGTAATAATGATGAGGACTTCATCAACGAAGTTTCAAGCATGAGCAAGACCTCTCATGTCAACATTGTTGACCTTCTTGGATTCTGCTCTCAAGGTACCAAGAGAGCGATTATTTACGAATTTTTGGAGAATGGATCTCTTGATAGGTTCATCTCAAGCAATACCTCAATCAATATGGACTGGACGACACTTCACAATATCGCTCTAGGTGTTGCTCGAGGACTAGAGTACTTGCACCATGGCTGCAAATCAAGAATTGTACATTTCGACATAAAACCACATAATGTACTCTTAGATGACAATTTTTGCCCCAAAGTTTCTGACTTTGGCCTCGCTAAGCTCTGCGGGAAGAAAGGAAGCTTGATGTCACTACTAGACACAAGAGGAACGATTGGTTACATTGCACCAGAAGTGTTTTCAAGAATGTACGGTAGAGTGTCCCACAAGTCAGATGTGTATAGCTACGGAATGTTGATTCTTGAGATGATAGGAGCAAGGAAAAAGGAAAGAGCTGATCAAAACTCTGAATCAAACGCAAGCTCAATGTACTTTCCTGAGTGGATATACAAGGATCTTGAGAAGAGAGACAATGAAAGGCTTAATGGGAATGGAATCACCTGCGAAGAAGAGGAGATAGAAAAGAAAATGACATTGGTGGGTTTATGGTGTATTCAGCCTTCTCCATCGGATCGCCCATCGATGAACAGAGTGGTGGAGATGATGGAAGGAAGTGTTGATGTTCTTGAAGTCCCTCCTAGGCCTGTTTTCCAAATTACACCAGCGCCGTTTGAAGAATCCTCTACCCTCTCAGAGGACATTTCGGTTTGTACCGAGTATGATTTATGAATGTCACATAAAAGATATAAATTAACCTCATAGGAACCTTGTAAAGCACAAAAGCAGCATACGAAATTTTTATTTCACAAAATGTAGTATATTGTCTACATTGCAGATTTGACCCATTGTGTCACCAGACTATCAAGATAATTACTAAGTTTCTTGTAGCTCACAAACTGAAACTGGAAATTTCAGACAATTCTTTAGTGTTCTAATATTTTTCTCCTTTAATTTTCAAACTGTTGGACGTAGCTTAATATTGAACTTAAAAGAGAAAACAAAGAACAAAAGGTCTTCCAAAGTAAACACCCCAACTCCCCAAGTCTCCGCTTCTGTCACTATCCCACTTAACTTCATCTTTATAGTTGTCTCTCTGCCTCTGTCTCTCTCAAATCACTTCTTCTTCTTTTCTCTATACAAACCAAATCAAAGAAGACGCACCGTTTATAGACCTAAAATCATGTAATATCTCCCTACTTCTTGTCTGGTCTTTTTCTTCCTCTTCTCCTTATTCCACCTTCTTTCTTGTGTTTCAAGTCAACAACAAGAACTTAGGTTATGTGAGACTCTGTTTCAGTGTGGGAACATCACCGCTGGTTTCCCCTTCTCCGGAGAGAATCGTCCCCTAGCTTGTGGTTATCCATCGCTGAGGCTTCACTGCTATAAAAACAAAACCTCTATAATCATCTCAAACCATCTGTACGATGTTCTTGATATAGATCAAACATCTAACACTCTTAGACTCTCCAGAGCAGAGCTTCTAGGTTCTTTTTGCAACGTTACATTCACAGCCACTACTTTACCTGCCGAGATCTTTGAGCTTTCTCCAAACTACAAACACCTCACTGTTTTCTACCTCTGCGATCCTAAGCTTCTTTATCGTTCCAGTCATACATGTCCTGGAACAGGTCCCGTCTCAGTGTCTGAAAGCCTTGATTATGAAAACACCTGCGATGCCAGTTTCAGAGTTTACGTTCCTAAGAGCTTCGTTCCAGAAGAGAAAGAGTTGAATATTACAAATCTGGAAAGTGCTTTGAGTCAAGGGTTTGAGGTGAAGGTGAAGGTGAAAATTGATGAGAAAGCATGTCAAAAATGTTCATCCTCTCATGGAATCTGTGGCTTTGAAGAAGATACCACACAGGTTTGCTGCAAGGAGGTCTCAATATCAGGATGCGATAAACTCTACCTACCTTATGATGGTAAGTTTCTTTTATACATCATCATCGTTTCAGTAATTTTTATAATTCTCTCAACTATCACTCAGCATCAATAATCTTCATCTAAAACTGAATTATGCTCCTATCTTCTTTTTTTTCTTACTTGACTCTCATTGAACTGTTTGATACTATGTTTGGATATTACTCTGTTATTACTTTTCATACTTTCAAGACATAGTGAGTTAAGTCACTCTGTTTCACTAAATGGATTTTTCTTCTTCATTAGTCGGGTTCAGTAGTGAATAGTCTTGCCTGTAAACTTTCTGGAATATCTTTAGATTATCTGGATAAAAATAAGAAGGAAGAAAGGGACTTGGAGCTGTCACATCTTGTATGGACCCTACCTTTGAGATATTATTTTCATTAGATTGCAGAAATGTCAAAGCAGATGACTTTGAATCAATAATATAAAATAAAACACAAACAAAAGTGACCAAACGTACTTCTAGTCCATCTAATTAACTAGACCTAAACCATTCATTCATTTGTGTAGACCAAGAATGTTCGGTTTGCATGGAATCTGGAATCTGGGGGTGTTTGTGGATATAATCAGACGCAGACATCAAGTGAATTAGTCTGCCATTGTACAGACGAGCCAAATAACCGCTATTTCTGCGGTTCTTATGTCCCCCCAAATGCGGCAAATGGTGAGATTATAGGCTTACACATATTCTAATGTCCCTTCTTCCCTTAATCTCTCATCTGTCTTAAGTTCTAAGTACTGACCTTTGCTGCCGCGCGTCCTATTGTTGCAGGAAGAAGTAAATTCGGTGTAGGAAGAAGTAGATTCGGTGTAGTGGCAGGTGTTGTTATGTTTAAATACACATGAATCTATTATGAAGAATGCTTTTGATCTTCTTAAAAAACAAAATTATATACAAACAATTTCTGTTTTTCTTTTTTTGGTTTCAGGTTCAGTAGGAGGTGGTTTTATGTTTCTGTCCCTTGTCTTAGCAATATTTCTCCAAATTTTCTCAAAGAGAAACAGAAAAGAATCAGAAGAATTGAGTCAACAAAACATCAAGGCTCTTAATCCACAACAGGACTCCAAGGCCCAACAAAACCTCAAGGCTCTTAATGCACAGCAGGACCTCAAGGCGCTTATTCCACTGAAGCAGTATAGTTACGCAACAGTGAAGAGAATTACAAAGTCATTCGCCGAAGTGGTTGGCCAAGGCGGATTTGGAACTGTTTATAGAGGAACACTTTGTGACGGTCGTAGTGTTGCCGTGAAGATCTTGAAAAACTCAAAGGGTACTAATGGTGAAGACTTCATTAATGAAGTTGCAAGCATGAGCCTAACTTCTCATGTCAACATTGTCACTCTGTTAGGATTCTGCTCTGAAGGTTCCAAGAGAGCAATTCTTTATGAGTTTTTGGAAAATGGGTCTCTCGATAAGTTCATCTCAAGCAAGAAGTCATCGGGTATGGACTGGATGGCACTTTATAAAATTTCACTAGGAGTTGCTCGTGGTTTAGAGTACTTGCATCATGGCTGCAGAACAAGGATTGTACACTTCGACATAAAACCACATAATGTTTTGTTAGATGACAATCTTTGTCCGAAAGTTTCAGACTTTGGCCTTGCTAAGCTTTGCAAGAAGAAAGAAAGCATCTTGTCACTACCTGGACACAAGAGGAACAATAGGGTACATTGCACCCGAAGTTTTTTCAAGAATTTACAGTAGAGTGTCCCACAAGTAAGATGTGTATAGCTACAGAATGTTGGTCCTTGAGATGATAGGAGCAAGGAACAAAGAAAGAGCTGATAAAAACTCTGCATCAAACGCAAGCTCAATGTACTTTCCTGAATGGATCTACAAGGATCTTGAGGAAGGAGAGAATGGAAGGATTAACGGGAATGGAGTGAACAGTGAAGAAGAAGAGATAGCAAAGAAGATGACATTGGTGGGTTTGTGGTGTATTCAGTTTTATCCGTCAGACCGCCCACCGATGAACAGAGTGGTAGAGATGATGGAAGGAAACTTGGAAGCTCTTGTAGTCCCTCCTAGGCCTGTTTTGAAAACTCTCCCAGCGCCTCTTCAGGATTCCTCTACGCTTTCTGAGGATATTTCTGTTTACACAGAAGAATGTTCCATGAATGGCTCATAAAGAAAGAAACCTCCTTGGAGTCTATTAAACCATGAAAACAAGTACATTTATTCATAAACCTCCTTTGCGGAACGAAAAAACATTCGTTGCATTACATTCAAACATGAGAGAAAGACTTTTAGTCTCATTTAGTTTTGTAAGAATTCACACACACACAAAACTCCATAAAAGGTAACCAAAGAAAAGACTAATACAATCATTTGGAGTTCTTCCTTAATTACTCTCTACAATTATATAAAATACAATACCATAGCCCTCATCAAAACTATTAGTGCTTAATTTTATATTTAATTTAAGGCCAGATCTTTCATCTAGTGTTGAGAGCTATTCTCTCAATGGAAGCATGAACACAAAAACCTCTGATTTTATATTTATTTCGACAACGTGTACTTGTCGAGAGTCATTGTTAAACCTTTAATGATTGTTCTTGTTCAAACATCCATATTTTTAAACACTTAATTTAGTTTGAAGAGCGACTAGAACGTTTTGATCTATAATTGAAAGTTTCAACTTTTAAGTTTTTGAGATAAATCTTCTTTGGTCAGCCTTAAAGAATGAAGAAAAAATCTCCATGTCTCTCTGTATTCTTGCTTGACTTGGTCCGCACGAACCCTGGTCATTTCTACTTGCTCATCATCGATCTCTCTCCTCTCGTTTGTTCTCTCAGCACAAGAAACACTGTCCACAGATCTCAAACAAATCATGTACTATCTAACCTCCAACAGAATGATCAATCTGTTTCTATCCCCAACAAAATATATGTCCTATAGAATCATATGGATGCTATTTCTTATCCAGTACAATTTGTTTCCTTGTGTTTGAAGTTTCTGCTAGTCGACGGACCCTAACATCATCAGAACAGAAAATATATTTCTTGATCAAAATATTTTTTGTTTTCAGTAAGATTAAAATTTTTGTATTCATTTCGAACTGACCATTTTCTGGTGTCATTCCATTGACGCGGGCCTCTCAGCTAGAGTATAAGCAGGTGAGACATTGTTGATGAATCATCATTCTGTGGAAGCTGAGTATCCCCTGAAAGTGTTGATGAATCTTGAAAAGGTGCTATGGGGAATTGCAAAACAGGCCAAGGAGGTAACTCAAGACCATCCAAGCTTCCTTCCAATATCTCAACAGCTCTGTTCATGGATGGTCGATTTGATGGATACGACTGAATACACCACAAAGCCACCAAGATCATCTTCTTTGTGATTTCTTCTTCTTCTTGAGTTAGTTCATCCCAAAAAAGCTTACCATGTTGTTCATTTTCAAGATCCTTATAGATCCAATCAGGGAAATAAACCGAGCTAGTGTTAGAAGCAACGTTTCCAACTCTTTCTTTGTTTGTTGCACCGATCATCTCAAGAACCAATATTCCATAGCTATACACATCTGACTTGTGAGACACACTCCCATAAACTCTAAAGATCATCTCTGGTGCAATGTACCCTAGCTATTATCTCCTAGAGATCAACTCCGGTTGTTCTGTTCGTTGACGAGTCCTAAGTAACGTCCTGACTCGGCGCCTGGACGGTTTAGTGTGGGAGATAGTGTGAAGGTTAAACCGTAACCTCCATTGCGGGAGCTTGTGAGTATGCCGATGACGAATGAGGTGCTAAAAGAACGAACAGTGGTGTTGGTAGAGAGATTGGTATGGTCAAGCAATCTCACCGGTTTGTTGTAGAGCGCTGTCCCGAGGACGTTTGAGGATTGATCGGTGAGTCTTAATATTCCATTGGGTTGGATCATCGCAGCTCCTTCTGTTTGAATATTTGATTCGTTTCCTGTAAAACATGGAAAAACAAACTCTGTTGTTGTTGTTGTTGTTGTTGTTGTCTCTGTTGAAGATGCAACTGGTTTGACGCAGATCGTGAATCAGTCAGGAAGTGCACCAGGACGTATGGACGGACATGTAGCGGAGCTTAACGGAGCTAAAAGATTGATGCTGAGCTGGATGCGAGCTAGTAGTGGTTAAGGACGAATCCAGAAGAGGCGGTAGCTGAGTTAGATGAGGAGATTTGGAATTATCAAGACAAAAGGGATATTTCCTATTCTTAGAGAAAAATAAGGAAAGGAAATATTCCTTTGGAGATTTGGAGTAATCACCAAGACACAACCTTGTAGGGTTTGGCGGTTCGTCTATTGAGGATAAATAGAGGACCTTGGCTGCTTGGAAGCGGCTATCACAAATATTGAGAGCTTTAGACTTTGGGTTTAGATCATCTTGTAAGAGAGCTAGGACAAAGGGTTAGGGCTTGAGAGGTTCGAAGATCGTGGATAGATCTGAGAACAGAGTGTTACTAGAGCAATCAAATCGTGGATAGATTGTGGTTGTCAATTCGTTTAAGCAATACTTGTAAGTTACACTTAAAGAATTTCTAGTAATATATTTCTTTGTAGAGAAATCCCTTGTGCCAATTTGTGATCTACTTCCATATCAATAGCCCTTGGTTTTTCAATTGGTATCAGAGCAGTCACCTTGCGTGTATTGCTATAGCAGGTGAGATCTTGCGGAATGGAGGGCTATCACCCAGAGCTGAAGGTGATACTTGATGATGGAAACTACACGTACTGGAAGGCAGGACGAGAGCAAATATTCAATGTATTGATGAGGCCGCCTGGTACTTGACTGAACATGGATGGAAACCACCTACAGTCACGATTGAAGGAGTAACTACAGCTGTTCCTCGAGAACGCTGGACTACAGCTCAGCGTGATGAATACAAATTCAATGCTAGAGCACTGGCACAGATCATGGTAGCTGCTCAAAGAAACAGTTTGAGCTGATTCAGGGCTGTACTAAGTCAAAGGAGGCATGGGATATCCTCCAGATCCACTTTGAAGGGACAAGTCAAGTTCAAAGCTCAAGGAAGGATCTATTGGCAACTAAGTTTGAGAATATGAGGATGGAGGAACATGAGTCAATTGCTGACTTTAGCTCGAAACTTAGCTCACTCGTTCAAGAGTCTCGTACCCTGGGAAAGGTATACAAGGATGCTAAGTTAGTGAAGAAACTTCTTCGGTGTCTTCCAGACAAATTCACAGCATACAAGGCTGGGCTAAGTGCAAACCCTATCTTTGAGGACGATCACTACGACGAGATGGTGGGAAACTGCAGCTACACGAACTGGAACTAGGAGGTGTCAAAAAGGCTAAGGGTATTGCACTCATATCAACGGAGAAACAGTCGGAAGAAGAGCCTGAAGAAGACAGTATCAGTCTCTTGGTACGTCGCTTTGACAGAGTCTGAAGAAGTATGAAACTGGAAAAACCCAGCCTCGTGTCAACAATGGAGGAAGCCTATGACAAGAGCAAGGGGGACGAAGCAAACCGAGTCACAGTGTCA